GGGGGGGGGGGGGGGGGGGGGGGGGGGGGGGGGGGGGGGGGGGGGGGCGCACACAGAGCGAGGAATCAACGGAGATCGCGAGGGTTGATTTTACTGTCCGTGGGATTGGAAGGGTTCCCTGTGCGTCTAATGAATGCTCAGGAATCGTAGCAGCTGTTAGGATTGGGATAACCCATCCTCGAGTGGTACGTTGTTGGATATTTTCCAAAGTCGGAGTACAAGGGGGGTCGGGGGAATGAGTGTTGGCCGGCTTGATTATGCTTGTGTGCGTACCCTTTGAGGTTGAGTGCGCACCGGCTTGTTTGTTTCAGCTCAAGCCAAAGTACATGCGGTGCTTTTTAACACTGTGAGACCGGAACGGAGAGGGGGCAGGACAGGAGAGGTAGCGGGGGGAGCAACGATTAGTGGGTTATTGTTGGAATCGCGTCGCCTTTTACGTGATCGAGTTGCAAGGTAAAGATGGGAGGGGAGGGGAAGGGAGAAGGGGCGCGAGCTCGTTCGTTTGTGTATCGTCCTGTATTTTGTTGCGGCTTTGTTATGTCGGAGCAATTTGAACTGATACCCCGAGCTCTCTAGTCCATAGTCATGCGTGACACGGCGCTCATCATGCTGGGGACCACGGTTTGTGCAGTTCAAGCGCCTCCCTCCCCCTTTTTTTCATTTTCTTTTGCCCACCCCCAACAAACCGTTACCCCCGTCTTCCCTTCACCCACATGGTCGATGTCACCACGCCCTGTCTTGCCGTTTGGCACGTCATGCCACCAGGTCCTAGCGATGAACCTGTCGGCACCGTTCTTGGTGCAGTTCTTCGGGGACCAGATGGCGGCGGCACTGCCGTACTGCGACTTCGTCTTCGGAAACGAGTCGGAGGCCGCTGCTCTCGGGGAGAAGAAGGGGTGGGGAACGGACGTGGCTACGGTGGCCCTCAAGCTGGCAGGTGCGAGTAGCAGGCAGGCAAGACACAGATAAAACTGAGAGAGAAAAAGGAGAGACACATCTGACGGAGATAAATAGAGACAACGAGAGACGACAAAGAGAGAAAGGAAAGACATCAGGCAGGGGTGAATCGAGACAAAGATTAAGACAAGGAGAGGAGGGAAAGACGAACATTCAGGTAAAATCAAAGATTAAGACAAGGAGAGAAAGGAAAGACGGACATTCAGGTAAAATATCCTCAGTTTTGATCGCGGAGGTGCTCGAGCGCTCGAGCACCACGGATGACGCTTGGATGCCGAGAGCGACGCGTGATGGGGACACGCTGCTGCCGAGCGGGTAAAATGAGGTGCTACTGGACGACGCTGCGTGCGCATGCATGACTAGGAAGATGGTGACTCAATTCTCTCAACTCGAGGCGCAACAAGGTTTTTGAAGGAATCGGTTCGAGAAACAGAAGAAGGACGTGTAGCTCGCCATTGATTGCCCCAGTCGTTTGGTGGCGGCCTAGTAGCGTTGTTGCAGTCACAACGCTGGCCGGGGTTGGGTGGAGACGACGACGTTTAGGGTCCCCGCGGAGGAAAAAAGAAAACTCTGTTGCGGCTCGACAGGCTTCGGGACGAGCGGAGGACCGACGTCGCCCGAGCCGCGAAACGCGGCAGCTCTTCTCCTTGCTGCCCGCGGCGTGCACTCACTCCCGTGCTGTACACCGCCGTCCGTGTTGCTTAACCCGCCACGCCTGTATGCACGCCTCTGTTGTTGTGGCGTTCCCCTTTCGTGTTTTTTTTTTTTAATCTCTCTCTCTCTGTTACAGCTTTGCCCAAGGCTTCCGGCACACGGGCGCGCATCGTGGTGTTCACCCAGGGTGCGGACGGCACGATCGTTGCTAGCGACGGCATCACCACCGAGTACAAGGTGGACGTGCTCCCCGAGGACAAGCTCGTGGACACCAACGGTAGGTGGCCTGGTCAGAGGCTCGCACTGCTGTATGTTGGTGAACTGCCTACGCAAAGAAAGTAAGGTTATTTACGAAAAGATACCGGGGAAGGGGACATGCAGACCTCGACCCTAACCATAACCCAACTTAGACGAATCTCTACTTAATCCAGCATGTACACTTGTGTAGAAAAAGCTGCGTGGACTACTGATAGTTGGTGCTTCGTATCCGACCCGCTCGTTGTCTTGTCTCTCCCGCCGCTTGTGCCCAACGTGCGAAGTCGTTCAATAACTGTTTGGTGTCCGGTCCTGACTTGGCGGTTTCATCGCGCGTGTGTGCAGTGTTTTGAAGTTTTTTTTTTTTTTTCGTGGGCGGATGCGGAAGAAATGTTGCAGATATCGGCCTCCGCGGGACCTCAATGTGTTGTGTTGCATGCGTCGGAGCACGAGAGGAAAGTTATTTTTGGCGAATGTTGAGCCAAGGCAACCGCGAGCAGGTATCCGCAACGCAAATCACGCCTAGATGTGCTCCATACACTTGTGTTGTTTCGGCGCGTTCGAGCAACAACCAGCACGTGGTTGCAAGTAACATGAACATTTCTTCCCCGCCGTCCTTCCTCTCACCCCACACGCTCTCACACCATCTCTTCTCCGGGCGATTGGACGGACGCCTTTTGGTGCCTCCAACGCCGTATCGCTGGCTTTTTTGTCCGCTGTTATAAAACGTTCCGATAGGGGCGGGTGACGCCTTCGTCGGGGGCTTCCTTTCCCAGCTCATCAAGAACGAGGACATCGCCAAGTGCGTGGACGCGGGCCACTGGGCCTCCCGGGTGATCATCCAGCGCTCCGGGTGCACCTTCCCCTCCACCTGCGACTACGAGTAGGCGTCGGAGCCGTTGGTGACGTTTCCGATACCGTCGAGTGGATGCAGGCGATTTTGTGATGGTTTTGGCAAAAGGAAGAAGCCATGCCCGGGTTTCGATTAGTCTGTCAAGGTTGAGTGCGATTCCCCCCCCACTAAAGAAGGGTGCCGTGTGTCTCGCCAAGTTTTGTAGTTGGCATGTCAGCGGGTAGAACAGGTTGCCTTGTTTGTTGTGGCCCGATTCTTAGTAGTCTCCGCTTGGAGAGGAGAAAAATGTTGCTCCACCAGATGCATGCGCGGTCAAAGAAATGGCCACAACGGCGGAGGAAAAAGCAACAAAGAGTACCCCCCCCCCGCCCCCCCCTCCCCCCTCCTAATACACCCGAGAAGGTTGTTCAATGTGTTTTTCCCTCTCCCTTTGTTGGAAGTCCTCCCCGGCTTGTGCACTTTGCACGGTACTGGCCCGGGCGGAGCGCGGTGAGTGAGTGACGTCGGTTGTTGGTCGTGGTAGACGACCAGACCGGCGACAATCGTATACCGTTGGCGGACAGAGGCTAACACGCCAAATAGCCTACAGCTTGTTTTGTCGCAAGTTCGGGTGCACACGGTAGGAGGAGCGTTTGTGCGTTGACGCCGTACGTTGGCGCCGTAGTTTGTGTGATGCTGTAGGATGTTGATGTTGCTGTTGCGGAGGATGTTGCTGTTGCGAAGGGGGCGGCGTGTCGTGGTGCGTGAGTTGCCCATTTTGTCACCATGCGCGGCTTGCTGTTGCGTGACCTTGGGGTGCGCATAGCCGAGGGCGTGTGGCTCTGTCGTATAGGCACGATGTTGCCTTGAAGGAGGTAGCGTTACATGCAGAGGTAGAACAGCTTCTGGAAACTTGCAAAGGTTTTGGGTACAGAAGTGTTTATTGCCGTAGTCCACATAGCCTTGGTGAGGTAACCCTTCAAGCGCTGGTGAAGCTCGAACGCTTGGGGCAAACCCGCCGTCAACCACAATTTTGTCTTGACATCTCCTTTTGCGATTCAATACCTCTTGTGTACATGTAGCCTGATATCCTCCGAAACCGTGGTGAGAGGTGATGTGTCGCGCATTGCCCCAAACCAAGCAAGCAAAAGAAGCTCTGTAACGGGAGCACATGTTACCCTATGCACCATCAATTGGCCTGGGGTAAACGAGAGAAAAAAAGAGGACATACCAGACAGTAGTGTACCAGATGTGCGTGGTTTTCGTTTGGTCCAGACTTGTTTGGACAAACGCTACATGTTGCCCTCTCGAACGCTCTCTGTTGTGGACCTCTCAAGTTCGGGAAACGTGTCTAGTTTTTTGTGCCTGCATCCTGTTCTCTCCACTGCACCGGCTGCCGCAACGGTCGTTCAGAAACTCAAGGCTACATACACAAGAGGGTGGGGCCCGAATACCACAGGATGGCAGCAAGCGACCACAGAAAAGGACCGAGAGGCCAACTCGTTCGCGACGCCGCCGGATTAAATTTTTTTGTTTTGGAAGGACACTACGAATCTTCCCCCCCCGGTAAAAAAGTCACTGGTCCTAGAGACCCTCTTACACCTTAACGTGTGTGCGTTCTTGGGAAGAGTGAACCGCCTCGGAGTATCGCACCCAGCCGTCGAAGAAACAGCGGTTGCATGCACCCACGCGTCTTTGTTTCATTATCCCCGTGGGTGTTAAGAACAATTTCCTTCAGCGTTGCGGCACATGGCAAAACTAGCACAGCAAGCGGAACGTGAATCGATAATAAAGGGAGAGTGCACGGAAAAAAGGTGGTAACGACAATACGAGAAACATGAAGGGATACAGTCGACCCCGCTTTAAGGAAACATATGGTTTTGCTTCGAAAAATGATTCCTTAACGCGGGGAAGTTTCCTTAAACTTCAGGGGATCAGAACGCACCATCCCCGGGGCCAGTGGTGGCGGTACATACGTCAAAAGGTGCGCCCTGGGCAGGGCATTGTTGGAATAAAAAAAGAGGCTGGGAGTCGGCGAGAAAATAATTGTTTATGCTGAACACCACCCACACAGCACGGAAAATAATACCTGATGGACACTTCAAGTTCACCTGGTGACTCTTGTTTACCCCTGGCGGAGCGCACGCAGAAACTCTCCTGCGTTACTCTCTACTGGAGCGCCATTCAGACACAAGCACACAGTACGGCGTATGGCCGACAAACCGCAAACACTCAACGCTACGACTTCTGACATTCCGTGCACTCCCTCTGCTGTCCGTAGCCTTCCTTCCCGATGCCGCGACCACAAAACGCGTGCATCCATCGACCGCACGGGCACGTGTGGATACCCGACACGAGGTTCGTGATCGTGCACGTGGTTTCCCCACACTGTTTTAACCCAGGTGCAGAGGACGCACCGGTAGGTGAAACGAATCTTTGCATACCGCAGATAGCAGGTGAAGCAGCAGACCTCTCTGTTGGCAAAGAGGGTAACAGCAACAGCTGAAGCGAAAGATTGTCTGACGAAGTAAGGGAAATCTGCGTTTTGTGAGAAGCGGCAGAAATAAACCTTGGCCAATTAGAAAGCATGAAGCGGACGAGCGTGTTGGTTTTCTGTTTTCAGTCTACTCGCTTCGCCGTGTTTACCAGGGGCGAGCGAGAGCACGTGTGCGTGTGGTGGCCAAGGGTTGTTTTCTGCCGTGAGTTTGGCACGTGACGTTTCGTGGCGTGACGTATTGGACTGGAGAAGTTTCGCGTCTACGTTTCCCCTGTTTTCGGGGCGACATGGATTCGCATCCAAATCTCGGAAAAGGGCCTGCCGACGGGATCCGTACGTCGGTGGATGCNCCCGCCGCAGCAACAGCAGCCGCCGCAGCAGCAGCCGCAACACCAGCGGCAGCAGCAGCAGCAGACGCAGCAACTTCAACGTCAGCAGTAAGAAGCGGCAGCTGGGGCCGCAGCCGCGGCGGGGTCGGCGGTCGGCGGGGA